CTTTTTGAAAACCCAATGGCCTCGTAGGACCGCGTTGGCAAAGTCTTGAAGATGAATCGATAATCTCAAGTAGGAAGGTGTTTATAGCAATGAAATAAGTTTAAATTTCCTCTGAAGATAGGTTTGAGCAAAAATCGAATTCGCAGCTTAAGTCCCCTTATACGTGAACTATCTTGAATTTGTTTTGAATCAGGCGAGTGGATTATTTTACTGAAGCGACGAGTTTCACTAAAGGATTTTATGCATATACTGCCGGAAGATATATTGTGAAGTGAGTTGATGCAGATGCCTCGCTGTTTAGCTGATCTCTTTTAACAGTTCGCCAGACGCTTTACAAAGCGAATTCTATCTAAATGATATGCCAGCGCGATTCATAGCAAACGTTCTTTCATGGATTCTCTGTACGCTTTGCTAACTGATTTCAAATGTGCGCCAAACTGGCCAAATTTAGAAGAAAAAGTGGCATTATCTCTCTATACCTATGGAATAATTGTGTGGTATGTTAGCAGAGAAATTTTTTAGAAATTTCTTGATATTCGCCTTCTTAAAAGTATATCTGGCGAAAAGAAGTTACAGCACGCCACAAGAGGATCTAATTGAAATTCTCACATTTAGTCTTAAGAGTCTTCAGGCTTGGTATTCGTATAACAATGATTTCAGTTGAACATGAAGTTTTTCTAGGTTAATTTAAAACGTTATCTCTGTTAACAATAAATGCAATGCAGACCTCTGCAGAGTCTGCCTTATAGTTTCGTCCGTTTAATTAGTAGAGCGTATACGTTGTTTGTATAACGAATATAAATACTACCAAAGGTGCCTCTAATTACAAATCAATGAATCAAATATTGAAGACAATTTAAACCAAATAGAAATTTTATTTAATTTTACCAAAATCTTCAGAAGTGTAGTCCTATCCAAGTTATAGCCATGTTAGTAATATAATATAATATTATATAGTAATATCTATATAATCTTCAACGGAATCGAATTCATTATTCAACTTTGAACATTGTGAACTAAGTAAACGTACCCCCCGTGGATAAAGTCTCAGATCCTAGTCCCTACCTTTCCTTTGTATTGTGTTTTCCATTGCTTCTCTTAAAAGTCGCGCTGATTAAGTAAAAAAGAGGATGTAAAGAAGAGACAGTTTGCGGGATTGAAGGAAATAAAAAAACGAACACAAAATTTGAAAACATTATACACAACACTGCGTAAAAAGTTAGAAGACACCTTGTCGCTTGCCTGCTTGGCTTGTGGTTACTCTGCTATTTACAGATTCTCGATTGGTTTTCCTTTCCTTTTGATGTTAGCTTTTTGTCTACAATGGATTTTCCATGGAAATATCGACTGGTTATGAAGCCTATAGCGTCTTCGAAAATTTTCATGAATTTTTATTATAAGGGCCTCTAAACTTTGTTTTTTTCTACTTGTTCTAGTTTTCAAGGTATTACGGTTGATATATTATCTACTGCTAATCGACGCCCATAGACAAAAGCGCAAAAAATGAAGATAGGAAGATGTATTACTTAATTAAGAAAGCCATTTAAGAAAATGAAAGAAAATTGGCGGCAGGCGCTGTACACAATGATTCGAAAAGTGGAGCAAGTTCGAAAAGACCAGAGATTCGTCTTAGAATTGGGAATAACGTATAATTCCATGAAGGCATTTCGTTTTTTCCGAGATTGCGAAAACTAGAACAGACAAAGCGAGAGGTAAAATAAATATTTAAAGATTCTCTTATGAGAGAGTACTGAAACGTTCATGTCTTATATATGGGGTCCCCTTTAAATAAATACAAACGCACAGGCAAGCAACTTAATACAGTTCCGCAAAGGTAGCCAAGTAGGTAGGAATAGGTAAGAATTGCGACAATCAAGTCAGTGTCCCCGGCTTTAAATTTCACCGCTGTAGAGTTTGCTTTACTCGTAACTACGAGGTAAACGCATAACCCTTGCTGACTAAGTACTTACTACTAGACAGCGGCCAACTTCCCTGTCTCTTTTCCTTTCTTTAGTTTTTTCTGAAAGTCAACGTGTTGCGCGAATAGGGAACTTGTCCTGTGTGATTGGCCTAACTAAAAAAAATAATAAATAAATAATAAAATAAATGGATTAGCATTTGCAATGCATCGGCGCTTATTGTGCACTTTCGAATATTGTTAGGAATTAATAAAAATCATTTTATTTATAAGCCGTTGTAATTTCATCATTTTTTTTAAATTTATTTATAGTGTTTTTTTTTTTTATTCAATAAATAATAAATTTAACATTTTTTTAAATTTATTTTACATAATTTTTTGTTTTAAACTTCGTTTTTTCTTTTTGATTTTACATAATTGAACTAAGAAATACTTATTTATATCTCTAAATACAAAAAAAAATGTTGTGACTTAATGTAGTTTATCTGAGTTTTACAATCTATAATAAATGCAAAATCTTGACAATTAAGAAAAAAAAAGATTTAGTAAATAATGAGAGATGTTGCTATCATAACATAATTTTATACGTATACGTACAAATACCTAATTGAATGCTAATTGAATACAATAGAATACAATATATTACAAATCTCTGACTACATTAACACGAATTGAGCAATAAACGATACTCTTACTGGCTTGCCCGTCAGTGCAAAGAACGTGAATAGCGTATGAGGCAAAATTGATGTCTTTTCGTGAAGTGGTGGGTTATTAAACCCTAAAATGAAACTAAAAAATTATTCAATAATGATTTTATTCATTCTATTATATACAGTACGCAGAACTTTCTTAAATCTAGGCAAATAATTTTTGAAAGAGAGAGTTATAATTCGATCAGTAGAGTTAATAGGAGGAACGAGATAATAGATGGCGAACATAAACACTTGCTTAAGTGGGGGAGAAAATTACGATAAATAACAAGTAAAAATATATGTTAATAATAATAAAAATAAATAAATAATAAATTACGATAAAAATAATAATAATAATAAATAATAATAATTAATAATAAATAATAACTATAAAACTAATATAATAAATAATGACAGTTAACAAAAATAATAAATAATAATAAGAAATTATAAATAATAATAAATAAGATATAATTGAGAAAGTAATGATATACAAAATATTATATTAAATTATTGGTACTGAAAAAAATTTCGCTTATTATGACGCTCTTTGCACATTTAGGCAACGATATATAAAATATTTCTTATTTATTGTGTTATTCAAAAATCCATTTCGTTTTTTTTTTTTTTAGTCAAAATGAAAAACTTGTTTTGGTCAACATGAAAATTTTGTTTTAGTGTAAAAATATGTTGACAGCAGGCGTATTCAATGAAATTAATCTTTCAAGCCATCTCACGAGCTATTCGCTGGTTTGCGTCGCCTAGCCTCAACTGGCCTTCCGGGAACATGGGGCAACTTTAACATCAAAATGGCGGAACTAACTTTTTGAAACCAAGTTTGTTTTTGCTTGATCAGCATCATTATCTTTTCGAGAGTAAAAACGGCTTTCGACTTTTCTTCACATTCGATAGCGCAATGGACAGAATCAAACAAACATCAAAGTATGTGGTGACAATGTGGCTTAAATGTGAACTTGGCTTTTAATAAATACAACCAAGTGCTAAGTTGGGAGCAAACAAAACGATTTTCCAAACCACCTAACATAAATTATACCCACCACTGAACAGAGAAAAACTCTTAAAAGTGACGTAAAGTAAAGTGAATATATTCACTAGAGCCTTTGAGAGGCTCGTTTTGCATACTACTAAGTATCCATACACAAAAGAATAACTTTGGTAGACGTGGCATTCTAAATTAGTTCAATTCAAATCTTGTTTGCTGCATGCCCACGTGTTTCCCCTAAGATTGTTAAAAATTGGAAAAATTACACATTCACATTCATACATTCTTGGCTAGAAGGCAAAGATCGATGTTGATCAGAGGCACGACAGGCCAGTTAGATAATCAATCCTTTAACTCAATGGTCGTTTTTATTGACTGTACCAATTCTTTCAAATCGGCCCAAAAATACAACAAAGCATTCTTACTAAGTGAATTGATATCAAAAGGAACGCCAATCCAATCCGTCATGAGAGCGCTTTAGCTAGGTGTTCTTTACTCCTTGCCTTTTTCTATATCTTCAAAGAAATTACGTCATTCCGGATCCAAACAAAATATTTAACCCTAATTTGACTTTGAATTTCATTCGAACTTTGATCTTGATTTTTTTGAATAAAAAACGTGTCGCATATCTTTGAAATTTTGAGTAACTTTGAAACTTTACTGAAACGGTGACTTACTTTGCAAAGTTCGCAGCAACCAACAGCCTATAATTAGATACATTTCCCAATCTCAACTCAACACTAGTATTCATAGGAAGTTTTCAAATGTTCAGTGAGAAAACTATTCTGGTTAGCTGCACAATGGGATGGATATTTTTCGACCTTTCCAAACAAAGAAGAACCAAAAAATCACATTGTAGTGAGTATTGAAAATTTGCCCCGAGACGAAAGTGATTATGTTTTATAATAATATTTATTTTCTTTTAGTTAAAGTTTGCTTTTTTTTTTTGTATGAAATTTACAAATATTTTTTATAAAACTTAAAAGAAAAAAGGAAAAGTTATATACACACGCAATTTACGTATGAACAAATTTTGAAATTTGAATTTATTTTACAGTTTTGTATTTTATTAGCATAGCAAAAGAACAAAAAAATTGTCATTAATTTTCATTATTCTTTGTTATGTGAAAATGAAACCTATTTTGATTAAGTATTCCTTTCTAAATAAATATCTATACAAATTTGATTTTGAGAATGAGTTTTACTTTAATACAATTTATGATTGAAAATTTTATCACTATGTTTGTTGTTGCTGATACCGTTGGTGTTGGTTGTGTTGGTAATGTTAGTTGAATTGATTTCTTTATTCTCCTCTTGCTGATTGTTGTGACCATTGTGCAGAGCCTTAGTTAAAAGCATTTCTTTGTACGTTAAATGACCGTTGGTTAAAAACTTTTCAGTCATTTCCGTTTCCAATTCATGTTCATCTTCCGCTTCTACGTCGATAGCAGTATCCTCTGCTTCGGAATCATCCATTTCTTGTTCAATTGCATTGCTTGCTATAAGAGAGGGCGATTGATATATTGACGTGGATAAGAGTGGCTGATCGGATCGCCTTAGATGATTGGGTGAGGATGGCGTTGACGGTCGTCCACAATTTACGGGAGCTCCAACAGCGGCGGCCGCTACAGCAGCTGCTGTCAAACACCCCACACCCTATACTAACGATGACAGGGGCGGCCGCGGCGGACTTGTATTGCGTGCAGCGGCGGCTGCATAATATTGCATGGCATGTGGATGGGGTGGTGGTGGCGGAACAAAACTTGTAGCACCACCGTCATGATATAAAACCGGTACTCTTACTAAACGTTGGGCCGCATGAGCCATATTCGCCATATTGGCAGCCTCCAATTCGGCAGCTAATTGTCGCTTCCATTTATTGCGGCGATTCTGAAACCAAATTTTTACTTGAGTCTCGGTTAAGCGCAAAGAAGCTGCTAGACCGGCTCGTTCCGACGAACTTAGATAACGTTTCAAATCGAACGTTGATTCCAATTGAAAGACTTGAGCCCGTGAAAATACTGTACGAGTTTTCTTTTTACGTTTCGTTTGATTGGTATCACCTTGCGGCGACGAACTGTCCGAAGGTCCATCAGTTCCATCATCTTCTTCGATGATTTCTTCGCCCTCGTCATCCGATTCATTTGAACTTGTAGGCAGCATATAATTAGCTGAAGAATGAGACGTTGAATGATGACTCATACTATTACTGTTGCTGCTGTTCGGCGTGATGCTTTGATGGCCGTGATGGGATAATTGATGAGAATGATGCGAATGTATTGCCGAAGATCCCACATTAATATGATAGCCAGTGGGGTGAGGAGATGGTGATTTTGTGCCAGAATTGTTGCTATGGGAGTTATTATTATTGCTGGTGTTGTTATTATTATTGTTGCTGCTACCGCTATTACTGTTACCGTTAATAAGACCGTTATGGCTAGGGCTAAGCGAAGTAGGTGAAGAGGGATTTTCTGTAGTATTTGTAGAGGAGCTGTCTGCAAAAAACAAAATGAAAAGACAAGAAGGCAACTTAATTAAAGTCTAAGCACGAAAGGGCATTAAATATTCGAGATAAACCGTTCATAATGCTCTCATCAGTAATTGTTATAATTTCTGCAAAACATTTCATTCATCATCATGAAGTACGCAAACTCTAAGAGAGTTTAGCAGACAAAAAATCTCAATTTCTAGAGTAAATCTCCGTTAGTGCGTTTACAAAAAGAGAAAATGGTGGCCATCACATGTGGGGCGTTTTATATAATTTCATTATAAGTAGCTTTTCACTTATACACTAACAACACGATAAATGTACACAAGTATATGTGCATCCATATAGATATATATAGCGAGATATATACGTATGGCATTATATATTTAGTCCTTATAGCCACCGCATCCTGGTAAAGTATAAAATGTCTGAAATAATTAGTTTTCCACAACAAGAAAGCGAACAAGTAGAGAAAAAAAACCACAAAATGGCGTTTAACTTAAGTCTTTTGTTTTCTCAGCTATTTAGCAACAATTCTGAACAATTTATGTTAAAATAAAAAAAAAAAAAAGACGAAGAGAGAGGAAGACAAAAAAACAACTATAAAATGAAGGGGAAGACAATTCACCAGCACTTGACTTGGAAAAATATAAAACCTAACGAGACAACATTTTAGCGAAAAAGTTGTGATAGACAGGCATAAAGAATTTTTCTTTTCAACTAACGAAACAAAGAAAAATTCGTAATTAAAACCTTAAGTAGAAAATTTCATATTAGCTAAGCAAGCACATTCCGCACGTTTAGTTACCATAAACACATGAACATATATATTAGTATGTGTTTGTATAGATATATATGTATGTATGTATATAACAGAGGGCCAATTTAAATAAATAAATTCAATTGCATACAACAAGTATGTAACAAGTTAATGCAAAAGGCCAATTAAAGAGGCTTAAAAATCGTCCAACACTTGCTCTTCTCTATCTCTCTCTCTCTCTCTCTCTCTCTCTCTCTCCTTCGCTTCGTCTCATAAGCATTAATTGTTATATGTATTAAGCAACATCTACAATCACGTACAACTCAAAATACGCATTTAGATATTTGATGTAAGGTATGTTTGCACTTGATTAGTTAGTTAGCTAATGTATGTGTGTTTGGAGTGCAATGTTGAATCGTCTTGAAATTTAATACGATAATGAAACTATTGTGCAAATTGCCACTAATTGAAACTACAAAATAGGCATTTTATGTGTAATATAATCGCACAACGAAATCCAGTTAATACATTTATATATATACATATGCAATATATATATATATGCAAAACTATCAACGTTACCGCCCCCTCTCCCCTTTCGCGGGTATTTGCGTCTTATCGCATTCTTGCCTAAAGCCATTTTCCAGCCTTGTAAATACATAAGACACAAGTGTGATTCTAATTCTCCGCCTTAATCGAACCAAGAATTCAAAGAATTTCTTCTTTATTAGAATTCGACAAAAAAGAAAAAAAAAAAGAAAAGGAAAAAGAAAAGCTATTCAAGAGCATTAATTGCTGATTAGTATAAACGCAAAGCAACAATAGTTATCGAGTGTTTACATTCATTCACTTAGTATTTAGGGAAAAGCTGGCAAAGAATTTAACAAAAGACTTTAGCTTCTATTCATTTCTTTATTAAGCTTTTAATATTTTTATTTTTCATTCGCACAAACACACCCTCACTAATAGAGTTTCATTCTAATGCTTCTTTTCTAAGTGCACTCCATTAATTACTTCGCCTAACAAGGCTTCCATTTAACACATGACTGGCAATTAAAAAGTGATTGAAGCTAATTTTTCAATTAATCGTATTTTAATATCAAAACGCCTTAATCTTAAAGTTGTTTCGTTTTTTACACCTATCACCGAAGAATCTGGGATATATTCGTCGTGTCAAAGCGTTTGCAATGCCCTAATGGAAGCTTCAGAGATCTCACGAACTATATATATTCTTGATCAGCATCGAATTCTGAATCGATTCAAGCATGTCTATCTGTCCATCAGTCTAATGTCTGTTGTAAACGTGCTCTTGGCCGCACAAATGAGGTTATCTATCGACTTCAAATCTGGCACGAATATGGGAAGTTCTTGCACGCAGGTTAGTATTAAAAATGAGCCAAAACAGTCGAAGGTCACGCTTACAACGCCCACACGTTTATACAATCAAAACTGAGAACCCTTTGCCTTTCGTGTCTTTTGCTCGTTGTTTATAAAGTACAACAGATACGCGACCACAATTTCCATACAATTACTCCTTACAATTATTCTAGAAACATAAAACAGATCAGCCAGACCCATCCAATATTATTGAGTATGCAAATTTCCATTTTTCCTTTTTTTCAATCCCCATTTTAATAGGATAATGGTAATGAGTATTGAAGATTCGATCACAACTGAATATAATTTTCTTCTTCCTTTTTCTTTCTCTTTTCCGCTTAAATGCACTTAAGCCAAAGTTTAGCAGGAGGAAAACCACTGTAACGCTTTAAATAAAATATTTTAAGTTTTTTTTTTTTTTTTTTGAATGCAAAAGAGGTTTTAGAACAATGAGGTTTAAAGAAGTTATTAAGTGTATATGTGAGTATTATAAAAAAATTATTTTTTCAGAAAACGTTGAGATGCTACAACAACGCAGACCATCTCGCAAACCATCTTCCATCTTAGGGGGCTATAGGACTCAAAAATTATGGGGTGCCCTTGCCAAGTATGACATCAGATTGCAACTCACTAGCGGGGATTTATTTGACACAGGCAGCCCCACCCCCGAGAAAACCAGCTCGTAATTTCAAGGAGAACATTTTTTGTCGGATATTAAACTGCTTTCCTTTTATGTTGTAGACGGTTCAAAGCACCAATTAAACTAATAAAACAAAAACTTTTTACCCGAAAAGTTTGCAGTGATTTCCCGCTTAGTATTTATTACTGCAATAGTCAATATACGTTACTACTCTTTTAATTGTGAGGTGTGCGTGTATTTGTGTCTCTCTTAAGTCTCACTTTGGCCCATAACTCAGATTTCATTTTCACTTCTAAAGCAAACTTTATTTTAATTAATTATTAGGATGTAAAATTTAAAAAAAGGAAGGTGGGAAGTACTTGAGCAAGTGGTCCGATCTGAACCATTTTCAACAGCACACGTTTTGGAACCAAAACACGTTAGCGTAACAAATTTAATTAAAATAACTCAAATATTGCAGCCGGCAGGTTGAACACAAAAAAGCTGGACCGACAAATGGACAAATGTATAGACAAGTTTAGATCGCTATAATAAAAGGTGTATCCAATTCAAGTCCTTCTGGTTGTTGCAAGCATTCGCACGATGTCTGCCCACGTATTTTTATGTTCAATCTACAGGTCGCAATTTTCGAGATAATGTCTTGGTTTGGCCCAGCGGCGAACGTCGTTGATCGGATCGGATCACTTCTTCGACCACTCCCCTTATAACTTATTATTTTAATAAACCGTTCTATGAGCAAAAGTGTAATTTTTCGAATTTCGCGACAAATATCGCTTAGTAATAGTGTTTTTGGCATTATAAACTGTTACGAAAACTTCGGATCAGAAGGGGGGAAATTTTTTGACATCTTGTCACGTAACTCTTCCTCCGACAATTGAATCTTTATATGGTAAAAGGGGTATAATTTTCAATACTTGTTCATAACAACAATTTCACGTAGAAATTAACCTTATCGAATATTCCAACCACGTAGATCCTAGCCCGTCTAAGCATTCTAATGAAAAAAAAGGTAAGTTAACCCTACTCAATTTGGATAACATAGATCGATTTTTTAGACCACACCATACATACGGACTCTCATGAAGGCAAGATAATCTTCGACGCGAAAGCCGAACTTGTGCTTTGTTATGCCAAAACCAAATGGAAAATAATAAAATCTTTGGCAAGTAAATTAAGTTTGCTAAATTTGGATAGCATTAGTTGACGTTGACGTTACCGCCGGCTTTTATGAAAATTGTGCATTTACTATAAATGTGCAAAGGTTAATTTTTGGGTATCTAATAGTAATAGTCGGCGTAGTCCGACTATAGCGTTCTTACTTGCTTAAGAATATTTAAGAAAATTTGTTTTATCTAAATAATTATAATTCTCCTACTTACCGTGCGTAGGACTATGAAAAGGCATACGTTGCGATGCCCAAGGCCAGCCAGGCGGACATAAAGCAGCGTAACGACCGGCCAAAGCTCCCCATTGTGATATGAAACCCAATCTGCAATCAAATACGAAAGTCCAAAATTGTTAACATAAGAAGATACAAATAAATAATTAAGGATTAAATTCTAAAGCGTTTGACGTCGTTTACTCATCTTTACCCTTTCGATGATGAGCTATTATATTAACTTTGTCCTTATACTAATCTCATATAGGCCGGTAAGCGGTCTGGATTGATAGATATTTTTCATTTTCGAAAGACTTTAGCTAGCTATGGAAACCATAATAGCGATAAAGTTAAATTGATTTTCTTAAAACAAACCTCAGATTAAGTTACATTGACTTATTATTAAACTTCTTTGACGTTATTTTAAGACATGTAATGAATTATATTTCTGATAAATTATTGGATGTATAGTTGAGATGAAGCCATTCGCTAGAGTCAGTGCTCAGTCTCTTGAGATTAGGTGTAAAAAGTTCGGTTTAAATCAGAGATAATCTTGTTTTAGCGACTACACCCATACACACGCACACACATACATACATACATACATACATACATACGTGCCCAAGAAAGAGAAATCGAAAACCCTTTTCTTAATTTACCTTAATAATAAAACAACTCATCCTTGTAATCGTGTGTGTATATGTGTTTTCCTATTGAAATTATTTATTTTATTTATAACAGCTGTTGAATATTAGAACAGTTGTCTATTTGCTGATAAGTTTAAATAAGGAAAATCATATTAACCACCCCTAAAAGCATCTTAATAAAAGTTTTATATATGTTTCTGCTCATGCATACAGGCGCACACACATCTTCATATATTTATAACTTTTAACTTGTTTTCTCTTTTGTGTGGATATAAATCAAACTTTCTTTATATTCTCTCTAAACGTACAAAGCATTCAAGTAAAAGTCTACAATGCCGTCATTTTTTGTTCGTTTTTTTTCTTTTTTTGTTTGTTCCTAAGGGGAATTAATAGGCAAGCGAAAGCGAAAGAAGCAAAAGTGAAGAGCAAGGGGTGTTATCTACCTGTTTATAGGACGAAAATTGAACAGGTTTCCTAAGCAAACAAAGCATTTATAATAGTGATGTAGGGTGGTGGTAACGTAAACATCTCCCCACTCATTCACTTATTCACTTTAGCTTTTTTCTTCTACACGACTTAATAAAGCACTTAAGTGATTTTCTTCTGATTTCTCAAAGCGAAACAAAAAAAAAATAAATAAATAAATAAAAAAAATTAAATAGATATTAAGTTGTTATACACACGAACAGTTTTGGAAGAGGGATGAAGTCTGTGGAGATTAGCAAACTTTAGCAAATGATGCGTATTTGTGTGCGTATACACGAAAAAGGTGATTATTAATAATAAAGGTTAAATGTTATTATTTTTGCATTCTAAGTAAAAAGTTTATTCAGAATTTTCCATGCATTATAAGTAATTTTTCACTGAAATAGTTTTTAAGTAAGATTTTATTTATAATATTATAAAATTTATCAAATGAAACTTGTGAGAATTTATTTAATGTCAAATTTCGAAGGTCAACGAAGAAGTTACGTTCTCACCAGTTTCAGTTTACTTAATTCCCGTATAAAAGAAGAAAGGGCGCCTCCTGACTGATTATATGAAATATAAACCTGAATATATGTGCATAAAGTGAACTTAACGTTCAACTTTGAATTTAAAATCGATAATCAATATATTTATCGGAAAAGAGTTAGAGCAAAGAACTGAAGAAGAACACATGAAATGCATGAGAAAATATAGAAATGCTTAAGCAAAATATGTAGGAAAAGAAATTGAAAAATAACTTTATTACACTTGTACTTAAATCAATAAATTTCAAAGAAGACAAACATCCAAGTGTTTCACCATTCTTATTGTCTGTCACTAGCAACAACTATTCCCTTAACTTTGGGTTCATTTACAATTAACGCCTGTATGGCGGTTGGTTTGCTTTGAAAAAAATCAGTTTTCAAGTTCTTTAGTAACCTTTGCCTGTTCAGTCAAGTTTTTCATAAGGAGTTTTCGCCTAAGCGGGAGGATTTTTGGCCTAGCTCCGGAATTCAGCGCCAGGCAAGCTTAGTTCTGGATTTGAGCTTAGGCCCTGATAGTAGCTTAGGCCTCGACTAGGTTTCGGACTTAGGTCCGGGTGTAGGTTTAGGCTTGAGTTTGGACTTAGGTCTAAGCTGCGGACTCGACATTAGGCCTGATTAATTGATTTATTAAAAGGCAAGGTTTCTTTTGCTTTCGATTTCTTTTTTTTTCATGAGGCTTGACTTAAAGGAGATCCCCTACACCTGTATAAACACTATAAAAAAAAGAATGGAGAAAGAAGAACTGAGGAGATAACGATAATTCTAGATATTGTGGATATTTTAAATTCGGAGAACAACATTGACAAGTGCCTTAAAGTGGCGTATATATAGTCTCTGCGAACTTCTTAAATAATATAAGAATTTTGAATGATATATAAAAGTTCCCAGAACTTTGTGTATAGCAAGCAGGCAAGAAACTCATACTTACCTCGGAATGAATCTTTGATGTCCCTCTCCTTACATGCGCAAACGATAATGTTTTGAAAATAAAGGGGCGTTTTACTCAACCGATCACAGCTACTTTTTACACTGACTTATTCAACAGCCCTTGGCAATGTTTTTACCAAAGTTTATCTAAATAATTGCTGAAAATTGTGAGGTAAAGCGTTCTGTTTACTGTAGGAGTGTGAGTAAGTGGATTTCAGCATTTACGATTTGAATAGTTTTGCTAAAAATTTACCTAACGTTTAAATTAATATTTGCTATAAACCGAATATGATTAGTTTCTACAGAACTATGATCAGATCAAACAACCGTAGTTCCTGATGTTAATAAAATTACTGTATTTGATTAACGAATTTGCGAAGAATTGAACTGAGAAATTTCACAAGGAAGTCGTACAGCTCCGATTTCAACTGATGGAGATAAACTTCTGTGGGAAAATGCCCAAAGGGATGGTACGAAAAATAAGTAAGAAAGTCACATTCGGTTGGGACCGAATCTCGCATACCCACCGCTATTAAAATCTTTAGCGCCCCACGTTTGTACTTAAGGGTATGAAAAACTTGCCAACGGAATACAATTTATTTTCCATATTTTAGTTCACTAAAGAGTATTGTTAAGAAAAAGTTAACCCACCACGTCGCGACGTCCACTATAATTAATTTGGGATTAAAACGCTTAGCTTTCCGAAGTCCTTCTGTTTACCACCTATCTGTGTTGTTAAGGAAAAATTAATCCATCCACGATATTGATTTTAGAATGAATGCGTTTTTAAGCAGATAAAATATTTTGATTTGAAGAATGAATAAAAAAATTTTAATTATTTTGTCTGCCTGTCCACCTTATGAGTAATAAGCGTAAAACCGCAAAAAAGTTAAAAAAAAGAAAACCTAAACACTCACAAGTTTTTGTGAACATGACCGACTTTTTCCATTTTTGCGCATTAATAGTAGAATTTTCCGCAAAGTATATGTAGAAAATTTCAGCCTCCTCAGCAAGAACCCACAAATTTTGGCTTACAGAAGCGGAGTTCGGTTCAGTTTACGCGTTTGCTACGCTCAAACCAATTTGTCCCATTTTTAATGTCAATTCGGGTGCAGCAACTTCCAATGTCGCTATCTTCATTTTTGCGACAACGAGAGTGTCAACAACACACACCACACAGGCAAACAGATGCTGAGAGACATAGCTTAATCGGTTTAAAGTTTCACGCTGATTAAGAATATATAGGATAAATAAAGTATCCTTGTGGTTGCTGTCCTTCGATGGTGAGTATAATAATAGCTCTGGGGCAACTGAACAGATACATAACTGATTCCAATTGCCGTTTCCACGCGATCTCAAGTAGCATTAGCATTAAACCGTACTGCTTTAATGAAGCTATATTTCGAACAACGAGCATTTAATAATCTTCAGAAGCTTACGACGAATACAGTTTACTTCTTGCAAATGCGTTAGTAGTACTGCCTTAGTTATTGATAAATATCAAAAAAAAAAAAAAAAAAAAAAAAAAAAAAAAAAAAAAAAAATATTTTTAAAAAACATACATCTCTCTTGTCTGCTCTTTCGTAATAACAATATTTATTGCATCATGATGTAGTTGTTGTTTTTAAATTGACTTAATAAACTTTTATGTTTTTCTCTCCAAATTACTGACATTTTCATTATTGTACTGTACCTTGCTCTTAAGAGCACTTAAAGAAAGAAACCTTAAAGTATGACGAAAAAACACAAAATTGAATAATGCTCTCTAATAATATTTAACTTCAAAACATAACCAAGATTTTAAAATACGTTTATGCCATACGTGCGAGCAGATGAATATTTTTGAAAGTAAACCGATTTAAATTATATTTTTACTCGATTTATATTGCTTTAAAAGTTAGATATAAAATTTTATCGATTTTCTTTTCAAGATTATCATACAAACACATACGCACTTTTAAAGTTTAGTAGACTGTTTTATTATTTTAATCAGTTTGCAGTGGAAAGCACTAAAATGTACGTATGTAGAGAAAATCAGTGCAAAAAAGGTCAGGGCAAAAGTATTAATACCGTTAGAAATCCACACAAATATATAAATATATTTGCATGTATATATATATATATGTGTATATAGAGGCATAGTAAACTAAACTAAATGGTAACACATGGACATTGGTAGGGTATAACGTTTCGTATACTTGGAATATGTGATTTGTTTTTGCTTTATTTTTGTGTTTTTTTTTTTTTTTTTTTGGTTTTCTTTCTTCTTACAAACTACAAGTCACACAGTACATAAAACTGTCTTGTTAGGGTCACTTAACAGAATGTGTGATTGTCACTAAAAGGTTAATGTACAGGTTATATTTTAATACCACCCCAATATACGAGCAATAGGTAAACCCATGCATATATGCATATAAGAGGGCATAACGAAAAAGTATTAATTGCATGCATTTGTTGAAATTACTACTGCATGAGAAAAAGTGCATTTTAACGGCATAAAAATACCGTGAAATGTAGTGAA